GCAGAGAGCGGCGACTTCCCCTGAGGTGATTTGAGCAGATGGATGTGGGTGGCACTGGCCCAGGCCTCCAGGACCGTCACTGAGAGGGACTCGTGAAGACCAGAAAAACTCTCTGTCGACCTTGGGACTTGTCTGAGAGGGAACAGCTGCCAGGCCTGTCAAATGTGGAGCCCGTGTTAAAGGAATTATGACAGGAAGAGCTCTGCCATCAAGCATTCTAATAGCTGCTGCTTACTTCCAGGCATTTCAATCTAGAATCCTACAACCTGTGTAACGGGCAATGAGAACACTTGCGTTTAATGTTGAACCCAACAAACACAGGATTTCCCGAAGCCGGGGCCATGGAGCACCAGGCCCAAACCTCCTCCAGAAAAGAGTGCTGAGTGGTCAAGAAAATACTCTTCCCACCTCTAGTGCATTTAGTAAAGTCTCAGAATCAGGCCATAAAGAAACATATTCATTCATTTTAAAAACCGAATACACCCATGTACACGGGCAATAGGGTAGTGGGTAGGGGCTGGGAGAGGGGAGTAAGGGGGGGGGGGCAGAAATGGGAGATATCTGTAATACTATCAACAATAAAAATATATTAAAAAAATAATACATATTTCCCAAATTGGCTAGACCTTTATTTTTATTATTATTATTTTATTTTTTTAAAACTGAGATTTATTGTATGACTAATCATTGAAATCCTTCAGATGAACTGGATTCGGCAACAGCTGTCCTCTTGGGTTTAGGTGTGGTTTCTTCACGGAATCCACATCTGAATCAGCGGTACACAAGTGCCTCGTGCAACTGGTTCCAGTCGTGTTTTGTTGTTTAGCCTTGGCACTCCAGCTATACTTCCTCTTGCGCTTGGCGGGGTAGCTGCCCTAGCCACAGGTGGACTTCTGCAGGTGGTGGGCCTTCCAGTCGCAGAGGCAGCACAGCGTGTGTGTCTTGTTGCGGCGCTTGCCGAACGATGACGTCCCCTTCGTCATCTTGCTTCTGCTGCTAAGAGCCACCCTCTTTTTTTTTTTTTTTTAACATAATATCAATAACATCTCATGAAACTTGAGGTTCATAAAATTGACTTTAGAAAACATTGCCCAAAGAGCCTCAACGTCTTTTCCGAATAAAAATAAAAGGGAGAATGATCACATTGGCCATTGCTTTAGAACCTTTTGGTAATTGCTGATCCAGACGTGAGGGTTAACTGGAGCGCTGGATTAACGAGGTCACCCCATGCTTTGAGGAGGCTAACCAGCAGCAGTCCTGGGGTATGGAGCAGCACAA